AGGCGTTTGGAGTATCATCAAGGCAAACGTCGAACAAGGCATGCGGCGCGGATATACAGAGATTGGGCGAGGAGATCCAGCTGGTGTGCTTAATAAAAGAGAATTGAGGATCCGGTACCTGGAGAAGACGATATCCGAAGCACGAGCCAGCTTACGCAGCATTGTTTTAAACAAATGGTGAAACATGTCAGTGCGAAGTACATGCGTGCAATACACTTAATGAATCTGTAAACCTCTTTCATGTCATTGATATCTAGTTTTTATAATTCACCGATATTTTTGCTTAACAGCCATGAAAGGTTGCCTTGTGCAACGCAGCTCTCCAATTTGGGCAACACTAGGACGTACCATCGGCAACCGTAATCTCGATAGTTATATTACTCTGTTTGTACTTCCTCGAGGCTACTGTCGTATCTCGACTGCTAATAAATCATAGCAATTACCATGACAGCTGCAGTGCTCGCAATGTTAGTGAACCACACGTTAACGGTTGGTTAAGTGAAGAACATAATGCCTTTGATGTCGCGAAAACATTTAGCATGTAGGCGGAGCTACTGTGTGCAGGAGTTGAGACGTTGTTTCCTTGAAGTATGTGTTGAGAAACGCAGACAACTACGTAGATGTCATCCGATGAGCCAATCGGAGAACGAGCAATTGATATTTAATACCAAGGGTCAAAAACAACCCAAGCATACTATCTTTACCAATCACGGTGCGCTTGTGTACTTGTGGCCTACGGACTCGCATTTCAATCAACCCCGCATAGGCGCTGCGCCAGTCCGCGGTGTGCAATCCCCACCAGCACAATGTAATTGCATACAGAGCAGAACACGTAAAGTGTCACTAACCAGTTACCCGGTTCACAGTTACAGAAGTGCTTTTTCGCAAATCTCATGGCCGCATAGAGCACATCGCAGTTTATTTGTCAATGCTGTCTTCCTCCGTCAAACTGAGGATTCCTTACACTCAACAGCTCTAGACATATAACTCGGCGGCACGCAATCTCATGTCAAGCCACCTCCGCTGCTCGCACTGTGCAATGATTGTGCGCAAAGAAAAACCACATACATGGACGGGTAATTGTCTGCAAGTGCGCTCAATTTGCGAACGCACTGGGAACCATGAGGCAACGCTCTGAGGTAATCCTCAGGACCAATTAAATCGAACAACAGTTCAAAAAAGGCTATAGGCGAGTGCAATCTCGAGTACCCTGTCAAGCACATCACCAAACCATGGTGAGCTGCCAATGTGCAGCACGCGCGCACTAAGACTTATTCCACATCCGTCAAGCGCTGATCCTTCAGTAGACGCGCCGGACCCAGAGACGAGCCGCGGTTCACACGTTCTCACCGTCCCACACCTCACTAGCCCACATTCCATGCCAGCCGATTCTTCACGTGAGCGAAACTCGTCACGTAAAAGAGTGAGCCCACTTCATCGACCCAAGAAGAGACTTTCAGTTAAATAAGTGGGTGCCCTACTACCGCAATTGCGCTCACTGGTGAGTGGTGGATAATGCGCAATCGAAAGCGGAGTAGTCTTACCGGTTACATCAGTAGTTTGTGTGCGTAAGACACCCGACGAATCGCCTTTATCAACAAAGCCTCACTGATAGGAAGCAGTTTCCGACTACGGTTACGTAATAACAATTTGAACGAATTTACCAGGGCTTCATTAGAGTTTTGTGGATAGACGAGGTGCGGGCCCTGTTTATCACTTGGTCCACTCAATCATGTTGCCAGAGGGTTGGCATTAACCACATTGCTAAATGACCAACCATCCCGAGTCAGTTGAACTGATAAAGTGGGCCATACCACGGAAACTGAACTGTCTGGCAATGTACTCTGGCGCTTCTGAATGACATTGAGTTTGGGGTTGTACATAAGTGGTGCACAAGCAGTCGTGTATGTGTGCGATAAGGCAGACCCGGTTTAGTATCAAGTGCCGTTCACAAATGCTTGGTGCCAACGGCACCGATGTTATTGATAAGTGTCTGCTTATATGTGACCGTGCACCATTACACACGGATCTGGAACATGCGTTCCAAAATGAGCGTTAACTATCAGGAAGACTTGCGACTCGCAATATATTCGCCCTCCTTGAACCCAATAGATTTCCGCAGCTCGTGTGGATCCATCACTTTTGTGCGCGCTAACTAGGCAAATCTGACGTAAATACTTGACCACTTGATATCAACGCATCTACACTCCCCATAAGTGTTATCATCCAAAACTGACAGAGTATATTGCCAGACAGTTCCGCCTCCGTGCTATGGCCATGTTCATGGGTTCAATTGACTCAAGCGATGGCTGAACATTTGGTAATGTAATTAAAACCACCCCTGTGGCAACAACATTAAGTGGACCAAGTGATGCACAGAACCTGAGCCTCGTCCATCCCCAAGACTAAAATGAAGCCTCGGTGAAATGGTTCAAGTTATTATTACGTAACCGCCGTCGGAAACTGCTTGCCATCAGTGAGCTTTTGGTGAGAAGGACGATTCGTCAGGTGTTGTGTACTGCGCACGAACTCACCCTGATAAGGATGGCTACATCCTTCAAACACGGATCCAAAAACATTGCGCTCAGAGAGCATGCTGCGCCCCGAAACGCACCGGTCTACACATTGTCCCCGGATGGGGCTTGGATCAGCGTTCACAGTTGTGTTATGTCATCCTAATCTCTGCTTCTTTCGTTTCACTGAAGCTATCTCAATAAGCCAGATGCTTCCGTTTTCATGTGTTCAACTTAGGCTGCCATGGGCATAGGGATAGAAATTTCGTCGTTTACGTTACACTTCATGCTTGTTTGGTCACACTAATATTTAACTATATATATATGTTTAACTAAAATACAGGTCATTTATAATGATACGGAAGAGACAATACAAAATGCATGCACCTACCAGCTTGTGTCTTCTTACCGCATTTTTCAAATTGTTGAGGGGAACTAACTTTTTTAAATAAGGCTCACGTTTTTTACTGTTAACCTAAGGAAGTATAGGTGTGTCCAGAGTTTGAAAATTACTGCAAATTATTCGGAGCATAGAAATTTCAAACTGCCACTAGCATGCTTCCAAACGCTAGAAATGAACAGTGCTTTATTCACGTATAATTAACACTCAGAAAACAGGTATGATTGACCGGCCAACCCAGTTTTGATATGAGCACGTTTACCGAATCGATTTTATTTTTCATCGCATGTGACTTGCAGGATTGAGAAACAACCAGGACATATCCTGTCGTCAACATACCATAAGCTGGTCCAACGGCTTTTGTATGTTTGGTATTTTCTTTGCACATGTGTGAAAAATAATGCCGTTGGTGGAATGTACGCTCAGATCTAACAGTTATGTTTTTCCACACAAACGTTTGAAGATTCTGGGCCTAGCACGTTATTGCTTCTATTTCCTTATATCACTATAATATCCATTTATGCTAGCTCCACACATTTAGCCAATCGCCTACAAATAAGTTTATCGTCAATGCCTTAATACCTGTTTGTCGAAATATACTCCATTCGTCAGCCTCCGGTTTTGCTCAATACTCCTGATGAGTAGCGAGGATTTTGGTATAATTCCGATAATTATTTACGGTCACCCTCAATCAACAGACTTAGAGTAGCCTGGAAAAGCACAAGACGCCGGCGTTACGACATCCTGGGTCACGTCAGTGGTGCACCTCCCAACGGACCTCTGCCGGTTTCCGCCCCATGACTTCTGGATGCCAGCAGATAGTGCCACTTCGCCATGGATGAAAGCCGGGGACTATGAAATAGCCCGGCTCATCTTCCACTGCCATGTCAGTTACGAACTGTGCACAGGACAGTAGCTAACCTCACGAGCTAGGACTTTTCGCATAGCGCCTCGGTACGGCACAAGGACTTGAAAGCACCCAGAAGTCTTGGAGGCGGAACCCTGCAGGGCTCTGCCGGAAAGCGCACCACCGACGACAGCCAAAAGTTCGAAACATCGGCGTCTGGTGATTTTCCAGACAAACCTAAGCCTGCGGATTGAGAACGGCCATGATGAATTAGCTGAATTTTTTCAACAAAACTTGTTCCGTATGCCAGATTGAGTATGCCTTGCACTGCGCATTCAAGAGAAGTAAGGCTCCTTCTAACAATCTTTAAAATAGTTGCCATCTGTAGGTACACCCTTTTCATTTCTTGTGGTCTGAGAGTTCGTTAGCTCGGTACTGTGGCTCCAAAAGTTTTGTCACCATTCGAGGTAGCATTGTCTGCGCACATGTAGTTAACGGAGCGGTCTGGTAGGAAGCTTCGCGGACGCTCCGTTACATGCACGCGCACTAACAACGTCAACTTGAGTGGTGACGAAATATTTGCAGCCAAACTGCAGAGCTCAGAGAAAACTCAGACCACTATACGAACCACCTGAGCTACTAAGATTTGTTTCTATATCATACATACCATTACTATTCTCTATTTACCATTTGACCCCCAACTCAGTCTGCACCTTAAGACAATAGAGACTGTAACTAATCCAGAATTTTTGATGGGAAGTTTATCGTCAAGGGACAAGGTATCTTTGGAGTAAACATTTGACTAATGCCACGAAGAAGAAATTCAATATTTTTCTCAGTAGAAAACAAATCTTTTACAGCGAAACATGTGTATAAATTCTGTGCAAACTGATCGGATAAGGTCCCGTGGACCTTACCTTGCACTGGCAAGAAATCTGGCACATTAATCTTATTTATTGCATTAGAATAGCACAGCAACGCCTTTCTGTAGGTCGAGGATTCTCGGAGGTAAGTTTGACGTTTGTTGGTGCAAGCTAACGTAAATGGCTGAATGTTTACTGGAAACTATCAATACATTCAAAAGGATTAAAATATACCCCCAAAACTTCAGCACATAGCTTAAACGGGGAATCTAGTTTTCGGTCGCCTTATTAGACAGTTATATGACGCTTTGATAAGTACTTTATACACTGCGGACGATCTTGAAATGTTGCAAGATCTACAGACAGATTGGACTTACTCTTGTTTCTTTTGGGTTTAGGTTCCGAGGCGGGCGCGTCCACCTGGAATCGGTCTGTTGGCCTAGGTTCAACTGCAGAATAATATGAAGTGTAAACACCGGAATGATTGACACCAAAATTTGCAGATGGACTCTCCACAATTGTACGAATCGCGTGAAACAGATAACGAATTATTGAAAGCACGTGCACCCGTATAGAGAATTTTAAGGGTAGTAAAAATTGCTTTATTTTACAAAAAATATGCAAACAGTAATTGTAAAGTGTGCCAAATAAAAGATTGCTACTGTTGTTGCTTCTGTTGCACTTGCAAAGTACACATCTAGGCTGTTGTAGGTACGATTATGAATTGTTTTGCTAAAAGACAATGCACGTGAAGAGAAAAAAGTGTACTGAAACATTTCTCAGAAAGTAGGTATCAGTGCTTTACATTTTACTATTCCAATAATTGAGTTGTTGCCAATGAAACAGTACTAAGCTTTGTAAACCTTTAAGTTTACCTAATCTAAGTCGATTTAAGTTATGTACAGGTTTGCATCAAGAGCATTTTGGAAGTAAATAAAATAAAATATGAGTAACAATTTCCAACAACTTGGCGTGTTTCACGGTGATTAAACTTTCTGTTGTGAGTAGTGGATTCAGCAATAAATATGAAACCGGTCGTGTCCAGATGCATCCTGCATTGGAGTCTCGTAAGTACAGGTTGGATATTCTTGCGAATCCGACAACTAATGTTCGCAGTGGACAGGCGGTTTCGCTCTCAGACGAGCAAGCCTTTTGTGTCCGCTTGCCATTTGTCTTGCATATGATTCTGCAATTGGAGTACCACGCTTAAAGAAGCGAGGACTATACTAGCCTCTGTCAAGACAAATCTGGTGTTCAAGCATAATATTAAAAAGTAGTGGGGAGGTGAATTCGGCTCTCCTGAGCTGTTTGCTTCATTGTGGAGCTTGGAGAGTTATTTAATGCAGACCGTAGAAGTGTCTTTAAATGCTTGCTGTAAGGGTCAGAAATTCGAGGTACAGGCGCAGCAGTCATACGCAGATTGAACGGCTGCATTTATGCGCTGGGTTACCACAAACTGTGGAATTTGTGGTTCTACTTTCAGTGTCATCTGTTCAGCATAGAAGCAGCAAAACACTACACAGCTGTGTTTTAAGAAATTTATACGTTTTTGTAAGAGTCATGTTTAAGGCGAAGTTAAATGAATGAGGCTAAACAGCTTCTATGGAAAAAACCACTAAAATGTGTACAGTGAGGATTCAGGGCTAAACTCTCATTATGTTTATGATGGGATTTGTACGTCAATTATGTAAGGCACCTGAAGACTATTCGATAATGTTGCTTGAGACGGTAGGTTGATATTTAGGCGGAGGCATGGGACGGAAAACGAATTCAGGGTTTAAATAGAAGAATTGCTCAACAGCTTGACCGATTGATTTGTGAAATCCAGACTAGACAAAAATAGCTATGAAATGCAGTATGTGGAACGAGAAACACTGGAGACAACTTTATTTCAAATATCATCCTTGTAACAAGGATGATCTTGTATTCTTCAGCGTCCCCTGCAATCTAAATTGAGACTATGTGTCACACTCGATAAATGTCGTATGGATTTAAATTATAATCAGTTGGTTAACTTTTGTGTTTTAACAGATCATTCAAGTGTTATTTTTTGATCGATCTATTGATTGTTAGTGTGATAACAAATAACTTTTTGCGCTTTCCAAATACAAGTAATTGCAAGCTTTCTCTTTTAGTCTTCATTTATTAGCACTGGTTTTTATACAGCATCGGGTCACTCTAATGTATTGTTTGGGGTTTATTTCTGCTTAAGGATAACAGTTCGACTGTCATTAGCGCTCTTACTGTTTGCATGCATCCAGTAGGTTTCTAAATGGCTTGAAGTTTACTGGTTTCGTTCAGAAGGTTCAACGTAGTTAGATAGTATCTGCATGTCCAGGGGAACGCTAAATACTGAAAGCCGTTTCGTCCTATTGGGACTCGTCACTAGCGCTCACCCACCGAATCCTGCTAGATTTGTACCCATGACATTTCTCTTGCGAGCCACCGACTTATGCCACTGAGCCATGGTCGAGGACGGCGGACCGCCATGACTAGTTTCTAACTACGATATGGACCGGTTCATACCTCACTGTCTTGCGAGTTACGAACGTGCAGAGTACAGCTCTGGCCCACAGAGCTACAAGTTCATTTACAAGCTGCCACCAATCGAGGTGGCATGTAAATTGCTGAGACGAACACTGGTTATTAGTGAGTAGTCGAGGGAGTTATTTTGTGTGTCCAAAAGATTCACCGCAGCCAGACTTAAGGAGACAGCCACCAGATAAAGGAAAGCGCTTCCTTGGTTGTCTGCCGGCTGTCTGGATGAGTCTAGCTGCGGTGAATATTCTGCACATACAATAAATTTTTAATGCTGTCCCGTTTATTGGGTTTCTTCACTCGCATGGATTCAGTGATTTGAGTGGGTTCGGCAGCTACTCGCCTGCTATTATTCCCGCTACATAAACCGTACCGTTTTCCTGTGCAAATTTTCGGTTCCTGTTCACCGCGTTTTCTTTCTGCTGTTAGTGGACGGAAGGTGCCGCGGATCCGACGCAAGGTGTGCAATATGCTTTTAACGATTGTCTGTTTAGCGGTTCCATTAAACGGTGCGAAACATACTGAACTGACTAGTGAGCGCAGTCAATTTTTGGCATCGCAGCGTTTGCGCATGCTTCGTACTTGAGAGAAACGTAGGTCACGATCATTTATTGTGACATGTGTTAGGCATTGATGCAGGCACAAACGTCGATAGCGGGTTGTAAAACTTTAGAAAAGACAATGAAGTGGCTATTTGTACTGCCTTATTGATTTATAATAAGCGGTGTCCATTTTCACAACTAATGGATTGCAGTATATGAAGCACTCAGCTGGCCATTTAAGGCCACCTTGGATACAGTTATTTGAAAAGAATTCGAGCTTTCATCCCATACTTTATCACCGGCTTGCAAAAGCTTAACTCCAAAGGTTAATGAACAATGCAACCAAAACATTTCGTATATTTCCATATTTATGAGCAATAAACGGAAAAGTGACGTCTCAATATTTTTCAGAAAACAGCGGAAAACAATAATGCGTACGTCCTATTGAGGTAATTCAATTTGATCCAAAAAATTATTTAAAGTTATTTGGGACATAATTTGTATATGCTTTAATAGGGCCTATACACCTGCTACACGCATAAACAAAACAGCTAACCTGCATATGCGCCAAGTATTTGAGCTGTATTTTCCCAAAACATATATTAAAGGCTAGGCGGTTTCAATATAGATAATTAATTTTATGATTATATCTTACACCTGTAATTATTGTCGAAACTGATTACTTAGCAAAATTGGACAGAATACTTAAAGTTTGTCGTTCCAGGTATTGCACTACTAGTTAGAATTGTGGGAACAAATAAGCAAGATGACTACCGGAACTTTCTTCTGAATGCGAATTTTATGACGACACTCGATCAGAAATTGTTGATCTATGTACGGTTCCGTAACGCTTAGTTTGCTTAGCAATGTCGGTCAAAAAATAGTATGGCTACACTTTAAACATTCATGTTCAACAATCTAGCTACATCGATGTGTGTTACACAATCCAAAGTAGATATTAGCTTGAGCGGCTTAATCCTGATGGAGTTCACTAGTGAAATGATTTTTCTAGTTTTCAACTTAAATACATCTATTCAATACTTATACTGACTTTTTGCCACTGCATACAATTGATTTGTGGCTGTTTGTAAAACAAATATTATAACTAGACTAAAATGAATAAACGTCAATTTTACCGGTGGAACTAGTATAGAGCACATTTCTAATTAGTGTGGGGTGCATAGAACTACATTGACGTTCTTCATTTTCGAAGTACTTTAAATTAATTGTTATGCATTGAAATAAAATATAAATATATAGATTCTTCAACCCTGTTTGCTGATCCCAAAAAATACAGGCAGAATACTGTTCGAACGTCTTACAGATACATACTGGATATCACATTAAAAGTTCAGTCACACCCACACGTGTTACGAGGCTAAACAGATGCTTTATTGCAATGTTGCCACAGTTATAACAATCTTTTAGGTGTATATTTGATACCAGTGAACCTGTTCTACTTTAAGCATGATTTTTCTTTCAGCTTCACGGTGCTCAAAACGCCAACCCACCTTTCAGCTTTTAGACCGTCCAATTGAGGTAATTCAGTTTGGACTAAACCCACGCGTAGTTTTGCGGTTAACTGGCTCGTCGTTTACAAGAATTTTTGCGTGCGTGTTGACGCTACTCAAAAGTGTATGCTGAAACTCTTATCCTCCCATCTGCTTGACCGTGTTTGAAAATCTATGGACCACCAGACGTGTTTAAGCGACCATGTAATTCCGTTAATTCGTAAGTCTAGTGGACTAACGAATTGTGCGACAATAGTGGGAATCTCGGAAATGGTTATGTCTGATTAAATTGCATCAAACTTAAGTTGTGCTGGCAGGCAAATAACACGCAACCGCATATTGCAGTTTACATCACTTTTACAAATTTTCGAAGTCGGAAATTACACTGCTTCCGTCTGTAAAGCACGCTTAATCTCGGAGTAGAAAAGCGGAATAATCAGATTATTGCTTCATTTCAGGTAGTCATAATGTACAAGAATCTATGGTTGTGAGGCCAGTAAGAAGACACAGGATAACTTCTATCTTAGTTACCCAACACCACGCAGTTTAATAACAATATATTGGATGCAATTTGGTTATATTAGATAATTATGGGAACAGAGTAGTGAAGAATTCCTAGGAACATTAATAGCTGAAGCAATACAGTAACATAATGTAGTCAGAGAAGAGCTAATCTACCGACTTTACATTACATTTCTCCGCCGCTAAATCCAGTTCCATTACTCGTACCCCAATTGATGTAGCAATTGAATGCGCGTGCCCCAGTAGGACGAAACGCGTCTGGTGCATTTCCGGACTAAGCTGTGCTATGTAGCTTGTGAACTACTGGGATGAATAAACTAAAATCAAACTTACCATTAATCAGAACAATTTATAATAGATGAAGACCCATTAATCCTTCCTAAATATTCTGGTATACACAAGAGGTTGGATATATTTCTTAAAGTTCCACTTTCCGCAGGGATGACAACGAGTACAGTATTAGCAAATCACTTTCTTTTTTCGCGGCTGGTTCTCGCCGTTGGTTCTCTTGTTACCGCCATTGCACTTAACACTGTCTGATGTATTTGTTCGGGGTTAGATTTTTACAGACTGTAAAGGTGATCGCTGTATGTGATTTGTTCTTTCGCCACGGCAACAATTCAGGGACGCCTTCAAGTAAGAATTTCATGCAGCCATTTGCATCAATAATTTTAAGAGAGCAAGAGCGAACAAGAATTTTGCGGTTATCCGAACAAATTTGTTGTTTAAATGGGGATGAGATTGTTAAGAATGAAAACCTTGTGGATATCCTAAGTAAAAGGTCTTCATCACGCTATCATATAGAGGGGAACAGAACGACAGAAAATTGGGCTACAGATTACGCTATGCCTCAAAAAGTTGCTACTACGCAGCTGAGCTCGTGTTGTTACATCAAACCAAGAAGCTGTTCCATGGATCCAACTTGGATAAGCCTCATGTGTTTACCAATTCACCTGTACTTGCGGTAGCACATACATTTGTCGAACCGAGAGAAGGCTATCCACTAGAATTTTTGAACACGTTCCACGAAACCTGGTAAATAGTGGCCCTAAACTTTCTGCCAGCTCAATCGCTCAGCATCTGCTCGATTGAATCTTATGCGAAAACCCACTTGACGCACTCAACGTTATCAGCAGACAAAACGACGCGAGCTAGCTTCGTTTCGCTGATGCCTCCACCATCCGGTGAATGAAACCTAACATTTACAAACACCTCGACCTTGTGCCAAGCCTTGCCTTGCGTGATAAGACAAGCGATGACCTGATTTCGGCAGTTTTATTGATTTCCTTATTGACCCCATTTGCAGTTGCATTCCTTTAATCTTTCAATGGTTTGTCTATAAGCGACTGAAAGGGAAGACAGGCTATCCCGCGAAAATGTTGTTCGTTCTTGCTGTCTTACAATTCAGGGATGTTTAGAAAGAGGAGGAAGCAATTATTTCCCAGTGCGCCAGTAAACATGTAGTCCAATAGTTTCACCAATCTAACAGGTTTATTTACATAATCTGCCACTTGCTGTATAAAATCCAGCGCATGATATAACTATTAACATCTCAAGCAAATGCGGTTCCTTATATTGTCAACAATTAATGCATTCCACCTGGCGTTTAGCTCACTTGTGAAACATGGTAGTGCATCATTCTCTTATACACTGAACCGGATCGCCGGGATTTTGTTTTCCTAATACAAATGTTATTTCCAGACCAGATGAAAAGACGAACTTTGTTTTATCCAAGCGGGTAAATAATATTTCTTACAATGTTCAGCCTAAGTGGTACCTTCTCTGCTTGCGTTTTATGCACGTAGACTGTCCGAAAATTAGTTGAGTTCATTTTGCGCTGTATTAGCTACATTTATTAATAATATTTTGAGGAATGAACTCTCTGTTCATCGTTTTGAGTAGATGCAAGGTAAAACAAATGTTCTTGGACACTTGCTTCCCAACCCAAATCTAACTTATGGACTTATTTCTATCGAATACTAATTTATGATGGGCTTCCATTGGGGACCACAATCCACACTACCTTAGTAAAATCCGGCAAGTTATAATCCCTGGTTCAAAAAAGTGTAAGAGAACATTTCTAATTCCCCACGCACAGCTGTTTCGTCTCTACCCACAGAATAAGAGGATTCAAAGGTATCTTTTGATAGGTACTGCATGTCAAAATATGACACTTACAATTAAATAATGTCATATAATTTTGGAATAACATTTAAAGTAGGAGAAATAAGATTTGAAAGCAGTGCTTACAATCCTATATCTTACTATTCTAAGCACCACCACAGAGGTAATCATCCAAGACTATGTAATGTAAGTTCCACCTAATGATACCTGAAACAAACATTCACTGAAGGACACGATGCTCATCGTAGTCAGACCGAAAAATGTTTCCATCTTTGACAAAGCAAGATGGCGTGAATTTGAAACCTGAAGCGATTATCAGTTGCAATGTGGTCAATGGGCCAAATATACAAATTATTATAGACACACCTTTTAGAGTGGCTTAGTCCGTACTCCGTTTCATGCTACTTGATGGCTTAAAAACACAATATTTAGTCAATTTATAGGGAGCAGATTCAGTTCACTCCGCTCAACAACAGGAAGGTATAGATTGCTGAAGAACTAGGTTATGTATCGGCTCTGCAATATTGCCATCACTTTCGAAGTAATTACAGTTTTTGTTGCATTTCCGCGTCATTCATCACGTTAAATTAACTAAATCGCAACGACAATTTTGATTCTAGTATAGCCCGTGAAGGTTTTGTTATTTTTGGTGAGTACCTACTAACGGTGATTTGAATTGCAGACAATCCATGTCAAAGTAGTCGATAAGAAACTGGAATATACATGATTTGTTCGAACAACGTTGTAAGAGAAAGCACGTGAAGCATACATAACATTTTGATGAAGTTCTGACTTATGCACTAGTAGTTCGATTATAAGTTGGATTAGAGCACAAGTTGCTAAAATGTTGTTGGATATTTTCCTATCGCGATCGGGTCGGCAGTACGCAAAAAAGGACACTGTTAGTTCCGCGTCTGAACAGACACTTTAGCTACCATACATGTGCGGTCAAAGATATTCTAGTATCTGTTAGTACCAAAATACACAGGGTAGCCAAGAAATGATGTTGATCATAAGCTGTTCGAGAAACCGATTTGAGTTGTTGTTGATTTTGTAAAATAATTCGGAATTCAAAGTCGTAAAAGTAAGTGACGTACCTAACTCTAAAAAAATGAGGCATGTATTCGTGGCCACGCACCTTTATGCTGGTATGAGAATCTCCTTATTAGAGACAATAACAAACACCAAAATTGCGAGACAGAAATGCGATTGGTGTAAGTTCACGCATTTGCATGAAACTTTGATATCCACTCGAAATTTCTGTTCCAAGATCCACTAAGGCATAACAGCAAATGTTGACGCTATGGGACCAACGGTGGAGGCCCCTTAAAATAGTGGAAACTAGCTCCGTTTCTAGTGACGAATTAAGTTGGAAGCTTTGAGGTTATCTGGCAGATGCTTTCGACGTTTACGCGGTGATCTGATTAGGTTGCAACAAATCT